CATCTCCTGCCTCCCACCTGCCTCCCACCTGCCCTCATCTCCTGCCTCCTACCTGCCTCCCGCCTGCCTCCTGCCTGCCCTAATCTCCTACACCTTGCTCTATTCCAACCCGTCCTCAACTCTGGATCTCAGTGGCCTTTCTCAAGTGCAACCCCAGTTGGACCACTCTCCTGTATAGCACATTCCCCACCTCCCTGTCAGGCCTGGGTCGAGTCCTGAAGCCTCAGCGGTCCCCTTAACCCAGGTGGGGAAGGTCCTGCCTTCCTCCTTCTCTGGCCTCTTAGCTGCCACCACTCCTGCACCCCTGTGGTGGGATCACAGAAATCACATGTGCTTCCCACACACACCCTGCTCTTTCTTGCCCCTGCGTCTGCATGCATTGTTCCCTCTGCCTGGCATGTCCTTTACCCATCGTTTGCCTGGCAGTCTTCTATCACTGAAGACTCGGTTCAAGAGTTGCCTCTTCCAGGAGTTCTGCTGTGCTCGGGCACCCCTTATTCACGCCTCCATGACAGCGCTGACTACACGGCTGTGGGACATGTCTGTCTCCCCACAGATTCTCTGTATCCCCAGCAACTTGCATAGGGCCTGGCACACAGCAGGGGCTCCATCGGTGGTGAGTGAGGTGATGTGTATGGTTCTCAGGCTCAGAGAACTCACTGGTAGGAGGAAAGAGGAGAGCTGCATTGGTGGCCTGCTGTATGGGAGGTCCCGGGACTGAGCCTGGCTGAGCAGACACTGTAGCAGCCTCTCCCATAGTCTGGGTCTACCTAGATGCAAAGCTGATGTCTGCAGTCTGTGGCAATACTGCATAGGAGGCCGCCCTGCCTGTCTACCCGGAGTCCTTCAGAGGCTCAAAAGGTCACAGCCTTGAGACATCTGAGAGCTTTGCCTCTCAAAGGGGCTTGAGAGAGCGTTTTTATTAACAGTTTGTGGTCCTGAATTTCAGTGGGTGTTCAGCCCCCTACTCCCTCTTATCATCCTCCTAGTCCTCACTCACCCTGTCTCAGAGACACAGCTTCCCATGAAGAGGAGCAGAAACCAAGTGGGCTCTACTGTTTGTGTGTGTGTCCTTGGAGCTCCCACACTGTCATTGAGACTTGAGGCTTGGGGGTCCTTATTCGTCTCCAGTTCAAGCCTCAGGAATAGGGGCCGTGGGTGAGAAGGCAAGCTTACCATGAACTCTGCTTCCCTCTTGATGCACACACCCCTGCCGACTCCACAAGGTAGGATATGTCCTTCAGCCTTGGCCCGGCTCTTGGCCTTCCTGGATTGGCTGTCTCTGGGGCTTGACATGGGTTTTCTCTTAAAGGGCTCCAGTCTACCTGAGATTCTGGAAATGCTCTTCAGAATTAGAAGCTGTGACCACTGATTATGTCTTCTGGTGTAACCTTTCCTAGCCCTCCTCTTCACCTTCAGTGTTTGACACGCATGTCTCAGCCCTGTGATCAGCACATCTCCCCGTGTGACTACTGGGCTCATTGAGATGTCATGTGGGGTGGAGGTTCACATGGGCCTGGAGGCCTGGAGAAGACCTTGAATTCCTTGTGCCACCACATGCCCTGAACTTCTGCTGTCACTTGCTGACTTCCCTCCCTCTCTCAATCTCTGCCTGTCTCTGACACACGCACACTCGAATACACACTGAACATGGGATCAGGCTTGAGGCAGGAGGCCAGCTCCCGTGACGCAGGGGAAGGGCAGCGGGCAGGACTCTGCATGGGTGTTTATTTTGTTGCTCAAGATCTCCTGGAAAGATGTTTCCTAATTTCCCTCAAAGAAGCTGGAAAAGCCTGGGGCTGTCGGGCCCCAGACAAGGTTTCCAATTCACCTATTCCCAATTTAATCTGAAACAGCAAACACATTTCCCTTGGCATCACTCAAATCGTTCTTTCTGCAATGGAAGGCTGTTTTCCTCTTAAGTCCACGCTCTGCAGTGAAAATTAATTAGCTTCTCAAAAGGTGCATGATGAAAAGCATGCCCCTGGGGAAAAGCGATGCTGTAGAGGCAGCTGTAACCACCAGTTCAAGAACAAAGCATGTCCTTCTTCCCATCACCAGACCAGGGACCTGGAAAGTCGCTTTTGTGCCGTCAGGGCAGCTGGACACAAATGCACACTGGTGATGTGCAGAGGTGCG